CTCATATTTTTCTCTCCTCATATCCTCATATCCTCACACCACGCACATAAAAAGAATTGTTCTTTTTGCATCTTTGCAAACACCAAGAATTCTAGCAATCCTAGCAGCAATTTATGCTCTTTTCCTAGAGGAAATTACGCACCAGTTCGTACCTGCAACCGCACCTGCAATCGCACCTGCAATTGTACCTTCCTTCTTCATTGAACTCCACGCCTTTCCCGTCGCAGATCGGAACTTAGGTAGCCTTCAAACTACAAGTCCATATCTCTAGGTACATTCGCAATTTGTACCTTGGTCCTTTACTGTACCCAGCTTCACCTTCGTCTGTCGCATGACCTGGTGGACCTATAGCGTCTGGCCCGAATAGCCACAGCACCTCACACTTTACCTTGATTTATTTACCCCTGTCCACGACAACAAAAAATCAACATCGCGCATCTTCCACACCCTATATCGTTACCTCGATGGCCAACTATTCATACTATTTGATCATAAATTGAGGATTCTGATGATACTCTTCATTCTCTTGTATCTCAAACCCGCTCTTTTCCAAAGAAGGCTCCCTGCGCGTCGCATCGTCCTCTACCGACGCATCCTTAAACTATTAGCCATTATTCTTCCTACATCTGAGGGGTACGTACATAACGATATATTCTTACTCGTCGTTTCCCTCGAATTTTCATCATTACGCTGCCATCTATATACATTCTTACCTGTCTTCTGTTGAAAAGTCTACCTGTTGTCCATAATAGCAGCCCTGCTTTCCACATCATTTCCCCCACGGTTGACGGCAGCAGCCTCCAGATCTTATTTATTAATGAAAGAACAGTTACTTTGACAACGATGTCGTCGACTATGGCATCGATTGAAGCCAAGGACGACGGAGGTCGCAAATCTCCGGAAAGCGTCTTACAAGCTCAGGCATCTGGATCTGGAAGGAACTTAACTCATCGCCGCCCTCGCTTCACCAACCTAGGTGAAGCACACCGGAACATCACTTCCAGGAGCATACCTGATAGTAGTGTACATGTATCTCAGAAGCTTGACGAAGGAAGTGACGAGAGTCGCGATAGCTCGCAACAGCTGACCAGTCCGGTTGGAGGATTCGCTACTTGCTCAACTTTATCCCAACACGACTTCCTACCGAACCCCATTACTTCCTCCATCGCAAGACCTTTTGCACCATTCTATACCATCTCTACAGCCTCCACATTTCCTACTACGGACATACCCGAGCCGACACGAGAGGCTGGCGTGACAACAGAATCTCCAGAGCACAACGTCTCGAATCCTAAGATGGATGAATCTCTAAATGAGTCTGGCAATACGGTAGAGAAGATCGTCGATCACTATGCCAACCATAATCTTAACGGGTTGAACACTCCTCGCGCCGCGACGAGGTGCGGATTTCGAGGGGAGGAGACGCGTCCTACGTACCGTCGCTACTTCCAGGCTAGCTCACTGGCATCGGGTCCTCCGCAGGGTGGGCTGCCAGACATACCCCTTAGTCACTCGCGATCTAGGTCGGTCCTCCAAGGGATTAACGAGAGTAGCTCGCCCATCACTGAGACGACTGTATCCAATTCGCAGCATCTTTTTGACGTCGAGGCGCAAGCAAGCGAGCTTCAAGATGCCCATAAGCCATTAATGCCTTCGCCCTTCCGTCCCCATTTGGAGCGGAACCCAAAGTCTGGATTACTTCGCAATGAGCAAATCAATACCACCGAGTCTTCCTTCAATGACATCACAGGTAGTTCAAATAATGATCCTTTTAGGTATGATCAACGAGACTACTGGGGAGCTCCTTACCTCTGGAAGGAAAGGGAGGTTAGTCGAGCTCTTAGACGAGCGAGCAAAGTTGGAGGCGCCAGCGAAACCACTATCGCTACCCCTGAAGCCAGCCCGCGCCCTGCAATATGGCCGGTGCCAAAACCAGCTCCTCGTCATACTAGTGTGACCTTGAGCAGTAAGCGCCCAGAAGGCCAGTTCTTTCACCAACCCGCACTTCAGTCTACTTTCGAAGACGACAAAGGCCAGACCCAGGAAGTAAAAATAATCATCGGTAACCCACCAGAGCCCCAAAGAAAGAGAGAGCTAAAGCGCGACAGAGTTAGTGGATTGATCACGGATCATGTCCAGCTAGACAGCCTACCTGCTGGCTTGCCCCTTAGAGATTCTACTGCCAATCAAACTTGGGTGACGGACGGTTATAGTGACATCATCAAGGTGGCTGGAAGCAGCATTGCTGATTATTCCGATGATGACGGTGAAGGAAACCGGCCTAGCTTATGCGGTTCGAGCTGCGCTATTATTCAACACCCTCTCAGAGACAATGATCCGGGATCGTACGAGTTACGAACATTGAAAGACACCAAGAGATCAGTACTCCTTCCAAAGACGAGGCTTTTCCGTGGCGGCGCATTTCAAGACAACTCTTCGCGCTACTTCTCGGGCAGCACTTCGAAGAACACCGGCTTCAGTCAGCTGCCACCTTTTCCTCGAGGGCTTTCGAACCCCTTTGCTAAGAAGGAACCCTATCGAAATGCAGGCTCCGAGGGAAATTTTACTCTCAACTTCAAACGAAATGGGCCGTCTAAGTATGATTTCCGCGACTCTACTTCGGAATACATGCCTAGCGTCCGTGGAAGCCGGGTCCTCTCAGGCATATCGTTCTGTGGCAGACATGTAATCACAGATGAAGATGAGCTAGAGATGGAGGATCTCTCGAAGCACGTTCACGAAGATGCGACACCTAAAACACCCGGCCTAGAGACCACTAGCAGCAAGCAGGAAGAGTTGGGTTCGCAACCGAGCGAACAAGACAAACCGCAGCCATATGAACTTCGCCTTGTAGACCAAGATTATCCTATCCGCTACGGCAACTGGTTCCAGGAGGAGAAAAACCAAGAAATGGCCTCTCATTCCTCATTCAATGCCTCGTTCAATGGGGAACCTATCTCTCCCCAGTCCAAATTTGAATTCGAGCTTCTCCCCCTTGACGAAGCGCAGAGAAAGAACAAGCAGCAACGAGAAAGTGGTGAAAAGGATGAGACAGAGTCCCCGTTAAGCCGATCTCACTTCACGGTTAGCTCCTGGTCTAATTGCGGCCCTTCGACCTCAACTGCGGTTCAGCTTCCAATGCCGGTTCACGTTTCAAGCGGCCGAACGGCTCCCCATTTGTCGCTTGACTTCAGTCCTTTGACCCATCATTCTTACGGCGATGTATTCAAAGGTAAGTTTGTGTACTTAACTACCAGAGGACTTTGAACTAATAAGAGATAGACACTCCTACTCCATTTTCTGCTTCGAGTCATCGCGGTTCAACTCCCACGCCTGCTCGCCCTGCTCGAGCGCTATTATACCAAGAGATGTTATCCGAGAGCCCTACTACCACTGGCACATTGGAAAAGGCCAAACGATCGCTGTTGGGTCGTTTTGTACCTCGGATGTTCTCTTCGGAAACACGTAGCCACAGGACCGTCTCTAATACGACGGTTATTCAATACCCTATGCCTAACGACAGCGGACTGAGCCTCGTGGCTATAGAAGCTCTCAGAGAATCGAATATTTCACGACACGGGAGCAAAAAGCGAGCCCAGTGGTTCCGACTAATGGCGATTCTGTCCATCGTTATCCCCTTCTTTGCAATTTTCGTCCTTACGGGAGTATTCGATAAGACGTTGGTCTGGTACTCTCGTGGCGAAGTGGGCCAGATAACCATTAAGCAGCGAGGCTTTATCAGAAATGCGTTACTTATCCAAGGTTGCTTCTACGTCTTTGTCGTTTCGTGCCTCATCGCGGTTTTCGTTAGGATGCATTAGCCTTCTATATGAGAAGCGTCAGAATGATGTCTCTAGGTGACACCTGGGGCACATGTCACCTATTCCATCTATGACCTAAAGTCGCTCTTTTGAAACATGGCTTATACTGGGCCACGGTCTTTCGTTTTACAATCACGCTACCGTATATCGGTTTGACAACACCTTAACTAACTACATTCACTCTTGTCTCCGGGTACGAATCTGAGTAAGTGGGCCATCGCCGGAGATTTTTGGGAATCGCCTCCAATACTTGCCTCAAAAACATGATGTTACCTCCAAAGTCTTATCTTAAAATCCCGGGTCGGGTTGGAAGGAAAAGAACACCTTGAAAATGGAGTTACTACTTCTATACACATTCGTTGGCTTGTTGAGATCGGACAATCGACTCGCTACGTAACACAACGAGGATCTAGCTTGAATTTTCGGCCTCGGATTGGATGGCAGTCACTCACACACTCTCTCTTTAGTTGGATCAATAAATGAAAAAAATGAATGAATGATAGGATGGGTCAGTGGATGGATGACGATCACCCTCCTTATCACCCCCACAGAAATCGGAAACCAGAAAATACGAACGGACGAGGAGAAGGATCTTACAGCATACCTTGGTTCTCTCTTTTTTTCTATAAGAAAGAAACTTTGGTACTTGCCTGATAGGCCACGCTATGCTGTAGATAGAAACTCAGATTCTCTACATATACTTTGCAGGGACGGATGTTGCTTTGCTCTATAGTCAATGTCATTTGTGTTTGCGCTTAACGTGTTGTTATAATTTTGATAGGGTAATGAAGTGTATGTGTAGGGTAGATACCTATGTAGGTACCTAGGTAGGTATGCAATAAGTATTGTGATGACCTCCCAACCTTGCGTACTCAAGATTGCACATATAGCCTTATTATCCAACCCCGTGTAGTGCTATAGTTTAGAGTAAAATAAGAGCGGGAACGGTGTTTTGCAAATTAATATTAGTATTCGCTATCTATGCAAATCTATTTTCCCATAGATGCCCATATATAACAGCATCAAATCTATCTGCGTACCCAAGGCACTCATTCTGACCTTTAGTCCACGGTATAGCCCACTTCTCTATCCATCGTTATTTCATGTTTACCTAGGTAGCCTACCGTTGCACCTCGTCCTTATTTTCCGTCCGTTATAACCCGACCTAGTCTCAATAGTTCAAGCCTCTCCGTACACGATCTGTCGGAGATGTTCCTTCTCACCACTCTGCTCGCACATAGCGCGGAACATGCCCATACCGCCTTCTTCCTTGCCTTGAAGCTCCCATAGTTCTTGGGGTGCGCCATATTCGGCTACCTTACCGTCGCTGAGTACGAGGATGCGGTCGAAGTCGGCGATGGTGCTTAAGCGGTGCGCAATAACCACCAGTGTGCTGTCACCGAATTCCTCGCGGATGCTGCGTTGAATTAATGCGTCCGTAGTCATATCTACAGCGCTCGTTGCCTCATCTAGCACCATAACCTTGGGTCGCGAAACTATCGCTCTCGCGAGGCATAGTAGCTGACGCTGACCTTGAGACAGGTTAAGGCCGCCCTCAGATATAGGAGAGTATAGGTTACAGAAAATGTTAGTGTTCTTCTTTTCCCGGCCACTATTAGACGCTGGGGTGGATGTCCCGCTGGTGGTGGGCGTGTCTGTTGCTGTTCCATTGCCATTGACGTTGTTGTTCTCGCCTTTGTGCTCGGTGATGAGATGCACGCGCGCTAGTGAGTCGAAAAGCTCGGCGTCGGTGTGGTTATCAAAGGGGTCGAGGTTTGAGCGCACGGTACCGCTAAATAGGACCGGATCCTGAGGAATAATAGCCAGCCTGCTGCGCAAATCATGTAGCTTGATCTTAGAGATATCGAGTCCATCAATGCAGATACTTCCTGATCGCGCCTCGAGGAAACGGAAGAACGCGAGCGTTAAAGAAGATTTGCCTGCGCCAGTACGGCCGACTACGCCGACGCGCTGGTTGCGCTCGATGGTGAAACTGAGACCTTTAAGTATGGGTGGTAGGTCGTCCGCATAGCCGACCACGAGATCATCCACCTCAACGCGGCCTTCTGTCGGCCAGGCTGCTGGTGGGCTGGCACCCTCGAGGCTCTCTGTTGGTAATTCTGTGTATTCAACAATTCGCTCTGCCGCGTTCATCTCCAGCTCGACATTGGCGTAGTGGCGGATCGTCCACATGACGTGACCCGAAAATTCGAGTGCGAATGCCAACCCGAAACCGGCGAGGGCCGCGTCTATCTCGGGGGCTATGAGGATTAAGATGGCGACGAATGAAGCGAAGAAGCTCCCCACTAGTGCCATTCGCCATCCCATCCAGCGGACGAATAACCAAAGATGCCAGGTTGCCACAGTCCAGTCGTCCAGTTTCGTATACATACGTTCAATGTAGGTCTGGCTCTTATCGAATGACCTGATCGTCTGGACGCCGGTTAAGGCCGAACCGAATTGCTCAAATACTGGAGATTTGGTGACGGATTCGAGTCGTTTTACCGGCCTAGCTCCATCAAGATAGCGAAGTGCGTAGAACGCACAAACAGCGAGAAGGAAAAATGCAGCGATTATAATCACGGGTGTAACAAACAAGCTAGCGACAATAACACCGACGAGATTTAGTAGTGCGCTCGCTGCAAACGCCATTGAATATGCCATGTGAGTGTCCACAGAGTGGAAATCCGCTGTGAATCTGTTCAAGATCCTGCCCAGGGGAACCGTATCTAACCACCGCAACGGTGCTCGGAGTACTACAAAGTTGAGCTTGGCGAAGAGCTGTCTGGAGGCACGTATCGAGCCACGGAAAATGTAGTAGAAACGGTACGTCGAGACAAGGGATGTGAAAGTGGAGAGGAAGACGTAGATACCGAGGTAGTATCCTAGACTCTGGCTTGACTCGATCGTGACCATCGGTCGGACCATGCTGCCCATCGTGAATTGTTGTACATTGAACTGGTATGCGTAAGCATGCTTCTCTGCTTGCGCTTCGATAGTCTGTTGGTGTTCTTCGTTTGACCCAGTCCATATTCGTAGCCACCACGAGCGTCCTACAGTTAGAGCTTGCACGAATAGAAATAGGACGACGACGATAGACCAGAACCACCAGGAACCGCTGTAAGTCAGGTATACCGCATACACTTTTCCTTTAACGGCTCCTTTCTCGCGCGTCTCCTCTTCAACAAACTTACGTGCTTGCGCCTTCGAGGGGATCTTAGCTAGAGGTTCTCCGTTAGGTTCGATGTCCACTTGAGACGTCTCTTCAGAATCTATTGCGGTAGAGCCCTCGTCGTCTCGGAACTCCTGATCTGTCTGCTCGTGACTCTTAATCTGCTCCAGAGTTCCGGTTTGCTGCAGCTCCGAAACGAGTCCAGCGTTCAGTACTCGTCCATTTCCCAGCTCGACGAGGTACTTCGTCTTTGGTTCGCACAGGGCTACATGATGTGTGACTAGGATCCTTGTTCGTCCGACACCGAGCTCGCCATTGAGGCACTTTTCAAAAATATGACGACCAACGTGAGCATCAACAGCACTGAAGATGTCGTCCAGAACGAGTATGCCGGCACGGGAATAAATAGCACGTGCAAGGCTACATAGGAAGGGTTAGTGATTGTTCACGAACGGTTCGGGACATTTAAGAATGTCACCAGCGTATCAACGTAGGCGTTTTCATCATTGGATGATACTTGGCTGGAGGGTAGGGGCTAACTTACGTAATTCGCCATTTCTGTCCACCACTGAGGTTAATGCCGTTGGCACCAATCTCCGTATTCTCTCCGTCGCTAAACATTTCCAGGTCCTTCGTGAGAGCGCAGACCTCGATGGTCTTATTATATCGGTATGCATCGTATGGCAACCCAAATATGATATTTTCCTTAACAGTCGCATTTTCGATCCAGGGTATTTGCGCGACGAAGGCGACAGCACTGGGGATGATCCAGTTGTCCCTATTCGCTTTCTGATCGTGACGTTGGGACGGTACTCGAGGCACGCTGATAGATCCAGTTAGAATATCGACTTCACCTAGAATAGCTGCAAGCATCAAGCTCTTCCCGCTTCCAGTCTTCCCTGATATCACGGATAGTTCGCCTCTAGGAAATGTAATGTTAACATCGCGTAAAACGAATCGATCGGGGTCCTCCTCGTCATCCTCCTGGTTGTCCGAAGGCCAAGCGATAGACGCGTTGTCGAATGTAACCTCATCTGCTTCCTTAGTGATCTTCGTAACCTCTGCGCCTCTCAGATAGGCGTCCATGCGCTTCACAGAGACCCAAGCATCGACGAGATCGGTCGTCAGTTCGGGGATAACGGATAGGGTAACTTCAAGTGCTTTGAAAACGCCAAGACTGACAAAAGCGACCGAGGGTGACAATGCACCGTGCAGGGATGCATAGACGGCGAGAGACACGGCTGCGAGCATGATTGGGCTCGTAATCCAACATCCGATGAGCATGACGTCGTTTGTAAAGGCGCTCCAGACGCATGATAATTCTCGTTCTCGGACGTCGCTGATCTTTTTCTCCCATTGCGGCTCGAGTGCGGAGAATTTGATCTGGCGGATTCCCTGGAGAGCTTCCGAGACGACATCCATCTTCTCGTCTCGTACTTTCATTAGGCGGTCCTGGGCATCCGAGTATCGCTTCGAGAAGTAAATGTTAAGAGGAGTGACGGCCAGCATAGTCGAGAAACCCGCAAGAAGGGCCTTCCATCCAAGAAGTTCTACAAGGAAGAGTAGCGATACGATCAGCTTAAAGAGACTCCCTACAAAGATGTTATTGAAAGCAGCAAAATCCGATACCCGCTTGGCATCGACGCCTATCAAATTGACAGTACTCTGCTTGCTCTTTTTAATCTGTTCGGCCTCATCCTCTTCTTCGAAGTCTTCGAGATCTGGTCTGTTAGTGGTAGACGACTCTCCTATCGGCCCAGCGATGTTCGGTACAGTCGATCCCGAAGCAGCTGCAGCAACCTTCTTCTGTTTCTTGCTAGCTTCCTTGACATCTTTACGTCTCATAGATTTTTGGAAGATGAGCGCAGACAACTGGGCACGAATCGGCACGGCTATCTGCGCCCACGATAGCCAGTAGACGTACGCCTCGACCCATGATTGAGCAAGAACGGCTACGGCAATCAAGATGACCCAAACCCAGGCATCGTAACCGAGGCGCTCGTGGTCCTGGCGCTGCTCCAAGAGGTTAAGCAATTGCAAGACAACCCACTGGGGTGCCAGATTGAGGAATGCGGTGAGTATAGTTAATAACCATTGAAGCGTGAAAATCCACTTGTGAGCAGCGATGATAGAAATCCAAAGCGGGCCAGTGAACTTCCGGCTTTCCCAGTCGGCAGTAGTTTCTTTAGATCTCGTGTAGTGGTCGGGCCTGGGAAGATCAGCTAAATCGAGACCGTTCTGCTTGGAAGCCTGGCGAAGCAGGTAAGCAGGCCAGCTCCAGTTAAGCATGCTCCATGCTGACTCGGTATACAGCCTATCGACTAGCTGGCCGTTGTAGTATACGTCAGGTCGTCGGGGAATGGATAAGCTGGCAACAGCCAAACACAGAGCCACAACCAATTCTACTACGCGTATAGAAAACACCCCGCTAGCACGTTGCTTTAGTAGAAGCGCGGCTACATCGTTGTCCTGAGCCGCGAGAACAGCGGTGAGAACGACGCATGAGAAAAAAGACCAAATGCCTAGACCGTAAGCGACTACAGAGTCTCGGATAGCCGCGACGCAGACGACCTGCATGGTTAAAAGAGCCTACGTCCACGTGTAACGCGGTAAGTCAGTAATCTGACAGTCCTAATGTTTCTTGTGTGTAACGGTGAGCTTACCCAAATTATAACGGCCAACCAATTTGCTAGGAACAAGCCGCTTTCTACTCCTTGCGTGCCCAACGTCGAGATCACAGCTAGCGCTATCGACAAGCCGAACCCGATTAGGGAGAACCCCAGCATCACGGCCTTGGGCACCTTAGTGCTGAAGGCCTTGATGGCCTCCGGCGTGCTTTTGCCATCCTTATCCTCGTAGATTTCGGTCGCGCACTTCGAAGCACGACTACGCAGTCTACCCAGATTCAGGGCGGTAGGGACGGAAAGTATCGCAACGACCCCTAAGCCAACAGCCGAAGTCACGAGCACTACTGTCTTGTCATCAGACATGTTTGTTGATACGAATGCTGTTTTCGGAGTTAAGCTCAGGATGCCAGAGCTAGTGGCTGGTAGAAGCCTTCCCGAATAGACGCGACAAGAAGCGCGAAAGGGAGGCAGAGGCGCGACAGGGCGAGACAACGAATGCAATGTAACTTCTAAGAGTACTCAATTCAAACTAGGGGCCATCGGAGGCAGAAAAAGATAGACGCCAGCCGTACTAGTAGTTTGCTGGTAGTTGAGGTTGAAGAAATTTTGAAGCTACGTCGTTCAGTGCGAGTAACAAAGGAATGAAGAGCAGTATGAAGTACATGCCATTGGCTGGGAGGTACCTAATGAACAATGCGGGACGCAGTACAGTATCCCTTCGGGGCTCCCTGCGTGGATTCATTGGTAAAGCGCCTCTCGGCTGGCCGGTTGACTCATATGGGGAGGCCCTCTTTTCATGACGGAGGAGACCCGGGAAGAGGGTACTGAGAATGGGGAGCCACCTTAATAGTAACGTCACTACCCCGGCAACGAGTCCTAGATTGCTAGACTCCCTTGCTACCTTATATGTTGCATATGTAGCGGCGGGTTCTGTGCGATAGGCCGATGCCGATTCGCCCGGGTTCGTCCATATGGGCGTGATGCTAGGCCCCACCGCAGCAGAAGGAGATAGGAAATATGTAGGTACCCATCGTGTTGCATCATATCCTGATTAGGATAATTATCGGTGTGAACAATACGATAGTGCCCCAACAGTGTAGGGGGAGAAGATGAGTTTTGATGATTAGCGGCTAGAGCTAGTTGTCGTAGTACCGTAGTCGTCTGACGAGGTTTGTATAACAAAAAGCAGCTGGTGGTGATGACAGCGGGGGGGTTTAAGGGACTTCTCATGCAGAAGGATCGAGTTAGTTGCATTCCAACCTAGCTGGATCTGAAATCAGAAGGTGATCAAGGGTACTGCTGAGCTAGTAAGGTATAGCCATATTTCCATATCGAGGTTGGCAGCAATGATCAAGATTAAGGAACCAAAGAACTAAAATGAATTAACTAGGTAAGTATGAGAGGTAGGTAACTGTCAGATTAGTCAGCCATGTCAGGTGACCTGAAAATCCCTAGTCTCATGTAAAATAGCGGTGTAACATACGTTCCCACGATTTTACCTCAATCAATCAGATCATCAGAAACATGATGAATTAAACCTCATATAATGCCTATTTAGTATATATTAGTTATGTAACAATTAAGAATCTTATATGTTTGAATTGTATAAACTTTAAGGATAAAATCTTAACTAGTGTTATATAACATAATATGTGTACGTTAAAATAAATTTTAAATAAATTATTATTTATTTATTATTTTATTATAAATTTTACTATATTATTATTAAGTTTTAAATTTAAATATTTTAATAATTAAAATGTATAAAGTAAAACGTTTATATTATTTATTTAAAGTTGTTAATTTTAAAAGTGGATAAATTTTAATAATATTAATATATATAAGGAATTTAAAGTTTAACTTAAGCTTTTTCTTTAAATACTTTAAATTTAAAATTATAAAAGATTATTTAATTTATTTAAATCTTAATCAAAAGTAATAATAAAGGTGGGAATTTCATTAAAGAATTAACTATTAATAACATTAACTTTAAATAATTAATTTCTTTTTTTTAAATAATGTAAAAAATGATTAAAGCTTTATAAAAACTTTATTTAAAAGAATTAAATACATATATACATATTAAAAACAAATATAATTAATAAAAAAATAATTAAGTTAAAACAATTAATTATTTAAATTATATTAAAGTTTTATTTTAAAATTGTATAATAATTTAAATATATAATTTAAAATATATATAATATTTTAAAAAACTATTTAAATATATATGTGTTAAAATATAAAATTTAAGATAATTATATAAAAACTATAGTATTATTTATAAAAATATTTAAAAGTTAAAAAGTTTAAATAATTAATTAATTTATTATATTTATTAAAGTTAAATGTTTAAGGCTAATTATTATTAAAAATCTTTAAAAATGGTTTTATATATTAATGTTAATTTTAAAATTTATATTAATAGATTAAGTAATTATTTAAAATATTATTTTTTATAAAAAGATATATAATAAGACTTTAAAATTTTAAAAGGTGGTTATAATATTACAAAAATATATAAAAATTTTTAAAAATGTTAAAAGAAAAAGAAAAGTAATTAAAAACGCTTTTAAACCAATTTATAATATTAATAAAGATGAAAATATTAATTAAAAAGGTAAATTTAACTGTTAAAAGAAATTATTATAGTTTATAAAAACTTTTAAAAAGTGGTAAAGTAATTTTAATAAATATAAAAAAGTTAATATTAATTTAAATTAATTTTTATAAATATTAAAGTTATAGTTATAATATTAAATATAAAGTTTATTAAGATTTTTATAATATTAAAAATTATTTTTATATATTTAAAAATAAAAAGTTTAAGTATTTTAAGTTTAAAAAAGTAAATATTACCCTAGTAAAGTTAATCTTAAAAATTAACCCCAATTTAGTAGTTAAGATAAAAATCTTAAAAAAAGAGGTAAAAATTTAAAGAATAAAAAATAAAAATAACTAATTAAATAAATATATAACCATTATAGAAAAAAATGTAATTTTTATGGTATTAATTTATACCGCCGTTTTTAATATTATTTAATATTTGTTAAAAAATTTAATAATATTAAATTTAAAGATTATTATTTATATATTTAATAAGATATTTTAATTCGTTAATTTTAAAGTAATATTATTAAGCAATTATATTATAATAAATAATAATAAAATTAAAATTATAAGTTATGGTAAAGTAAATATTTATATTTAATATTTAAAAGGATTTATTAAGATAAAGTTGGTAAATATGGTTTATTATAAAAATTTTATTTATAATTTTATATTTTTAAGGTAATTACGAAGGTAAAATTATTAATAAAATATATATAATAATCTTATTTATTTAAAATAATTAAATAATATTATTATAATTAGTTATATTTAAGGATATTTTTTATAAAATTTTAAAAATTATTTTTTTATATATATTATAATACTTTAAATTTAAGGTTTACAAAAATCACAAATATTATAATTGTTTTTTGTTAATATTTAAAATTAAATTATCTAAGGTTTTAAATTTTAAAATACTTAGTTAATATTAGTAAAAAAATGAAAATTAAAGGATTTATAATAATTAAATATAAGGTATATAATATATTTAAAATAAAACGTTAAGTAAAGCATATACCACATTATATTAATAAATTTTTTAATATAAAGCTAGCTTTTAATTTTCATTTAATAAAAGTAGATAATTATAAAATTACAAATCTTATACTAATTATTAATAAATAAATTAATATAATTTTTAATTATTATTTATATAATTAAAAATTAAAAATAATAATTACAACTTTAAAAAATTTTATTAAATTATTAAAATATTAATATAATATTATTTTACAGGTTTAAGAGTTAAATTGTAAAATCACTTAAATAAAGTTAATAATAAAAATTATTTTAAAAGTTTTTATATAAGGTTAAAATCTTTAATTAATTATATATAAGTATAAAATGGTATTATTAAACGTTTAAAAGGTATAATTAAAGATAAAACTAAAGTTATAAAAGCAAATATAAAATTATTATATTTATTATAATTAAAAATATATAAGGTTATAATATATTTATATAATTACATATTATAATATAAATATAATTAACAATTTTATATAATTATTTTTATATATTTATAATAATAAATAATAATATTATAATTTAAGAAAAAAAGCTTTAATAAATTTATTTATAAATATATAATTATAAGGTTTATATATTAATAATAAATATTTTAAAAAAGGTTAATAAAAAGTGTTAATTAAACTTAAAAACTTAAATAAACTTTTTAATAAATTATTGTTGGTAAGTACGTATGTAAATAAGAATAACAATAATAATAATAAAACAATAGTAAGTAAATTAATGGTATTAAAACTAATATATTAAGATGTTTAAAGAGGGAAGAATCTATTTAAGACTAGCTAGGTATAGCATGTTTTTATATTCTAATAATAGTAAATATCCAACCTTTTTATTTAATAAAGTTAGGTATTTTATTTTTTTTTTATTTACGATAAAGGTATTTTATTATTAATAAAGTATTTTTATATTAGTATTATATGATTATTACTTATTTTATTTTTTTTATAATTAATTAATTGTAAAATATAATTAAATAAATAAAATTTTAAAATTTATATTAATATATATTTGTATTAGTTTAGATATGTGCTATTATATATTTGTGATTTTATGTATTTATAATTATATATATTTATAATAATTAAAAGATAAAATTGTAATAGTTTAAATTAGTAATTATTTTATAAGTGGGGTTGCGTTAATATATATTATACCATCTTATTTCTAATATATCCTTCTTTACTTCTTATAATAGCCTACGTTTAAATTGGTATTAGTAATTGGTTTTAATAATCCACTACTACACTAGTTTAATATTATTTTCAATTTCCTTATATTTTATTTACTTTTTTAAATATAAATTAATTTAATTATTTTTTATTAATATTTTTATAACCTTATTTAAAAACGTTTTTATTATTATATTTATTAGATTATAATTACCATATATCTATTAAATATTATTAATTTCTTTATTTTTGTATAACTACCTTAAAATTATAAAATTAATTATTAATTTTTTTTATTAATATTACCTATTTAAATAAGATATTAATATAATAAAAAAAAATTTGTATATAAAACGAAAGAAATTATTAAAAAATTTAATTAATTTAAAATAATATTAATAATATTATAAATAATATAGTTTATATTAAAATCTTATATTATTTTATAAATTTTATTAACAAATATATTATGTATAATATATTTATATTTAATAAATAATTAATAAATAATATTATTAATAAATTATATTTTATTATTATAATTTATAG